CTGTGCTCTGTCCCATGGCTGGGCAGGGCTGTGCAATGGGGTAAGGGATGGTGAGTGGGGAGGTTGGTTTTCCTCCTTTCCCTTCCTGCTGTGCCTGATCCTTGGTTGCCCCAGACTGACTCCATCTTCCCCTTTTTCTCCTGTTGCATTCAGTGGAGGATGGTGAGGATGAGCTTGTTAAAAAGCCCAGGTAAGGGGAGCGTGTGCTGGGTTGGCAGTAGGAGCTACAACATGCCCACCCTGGGCTCAGCCCACCTGGCTGCTTCATCCTCACAGCTTGCAGTCACTCTAGAGAAGCTCTTTTCCCTGTTGCTCTTTCTTTTCTCCTCTCCTTGTCCTCCACCCTCAGGTCCCTCTGTCTTCTCCATCTCCCCGGAGATGAGCTGCTGGCAGAACCGCAGAGCGTGACCTGTGCTCACCCCACAAGAGGCACTGCCAGTGCTCAGCCACTGTTCTGACCATCACCTTGGGAGGGTCCTGCCCAGGCACCCACCTGCCAGATGGGGTCCCCAAATGGGGTGTCCCTGTGCTGGGTAGGACCTGCTGGGCACTGCTGGCATGGAGCTGGGGAGGCTGAGATGCAGCACTGTGTACTGGACACAGTGGGTGGGGGTGGCTGGTGGCACTGCTAACACCTTGATTGGGGTGTTGGGAGTTCCTGGGCAGGGACTGGACCTGGGGTACGATGTTTTGGTGGGCTGTAAGGCTAGTCAGGAGTGAATGCTGATGGTATTTCTGTAAGGCTTGTGTATCCCTGAGCTGGTGGGGCATACGGGAAGGATGGGCTAAGCCATGGGTCAACCACTGACTGTTGTGCCACCGTTCTTTCTGCTACCACAGGGATGCCTGTGTGTCCAGCTGGGGTACAGGGCAACAGCAATGAGTGCCGGGGTCGGGCAGAGGTGTTGGCATGTGCCAGGGCACCTTTGGGAGCACTACCCTGTGCTGAAGCAGGGTCTGTGCTTGGTGCTGGCTGAGCTCCTGCCCTCTGTCACTCACAGGCAGCCCCCTCAGCTGCTGGAGCCCCCCAGCAGCCCCGTGTGCGACCCTGTGAAGCTGCGGATGTTGCAGGACATTGATGACTCACAGCCCCACACTTGGACCTCCCAGTCCCGCTCCTTCCGCAAACTGGCCCGGCTGGTGGGCGCAGACAGCAGTGAGTTCCCGTGTGGCCTGGCACTGGCTGACAGGCTGAGTGTGCTCAGCTTTGCTGGGGCATCTGGAACTGGATAAAAACCGTGGTGTGTTGTGGCAGTGGGGCATTGGTTTTGGCCCCATGTGGGCCCTCTGTGGCAGCTGAGCCAGTGGGAGCTGCCCAGGGCTGTGTGCAGGCTCATGGTGGTTCCACTGGTCTGGTGCCATCCTCTGCCTCATGGTTGGGCAGGGCTGTGCATTGGCACAAGGGGGCAGCAGGGGGAGAGGGCGTTTTTCCTTCCTTTCCCTTCCCTTTCCTTCCTGCTGTGCGTGGGCCTCCGGTGCCACAGACTGACTCCATGTCCCCCTTTCTCTCCTGTTGTGCTTAGTGGAGGATGGTGAGGATGAGCTTGATAAAAAGCCCAGGTAAGGGGAGCATGGGAATTGGTGGCAGTAGGAGCCACAAGGTGCCCACCTGGGGCTCAGCCCACCTGGCTGCTTCATCCTCACAGCTTGCAGTCACTCTGGGGATGCTCTTTGCTCTGTGCAGATTCTTTTCTCCGTCTTGGTCCTCTCCATCTCCCAGACTCGGGCTATTTCCAGTGCTGCACAAGAGGCACCACCGGTGCTCAGCCACTGCTCTGACTATCGCCTCAGGAGGGTTCTACCTGGGCACCCAGCTGTCAGACAGGCTGTCCCCATGTGAGGTGTGCAGGCAGGATCCTCTGGGCACTGCTGGCATGGAGCTGGGGAGGCTGAAGTGCAGCACTGTGGGCTGGACACAGTGGATGGGGATGGCTGATGGCACTGACAGCACCTTGCTGGGAGTTTTGGGGGCTGCTGGGCTGCAACTGGTCTTGGGGCATTATGTTCCATGCGGTTGTGGAGCAGCTGCAAGGCTGGTTGGGAGTCAGTGCTGCCAGCATTTTCACATGGCTTGTGCCTTCATGGGACTGAGTACATATGGGAAGGATGGGCCGAGCCATGGATCCACCATTGACAGTTCTGCTGCTGTTTTTTCCAATGCCACAGGGATGCCCATGGGTCCAGCTGGGGTATGGTGGAGCAGCGGTGAGTGCCAGGGTCTGGCAGAGGTGTTGGCATGTGGCGGGGCACCTTTGGGAGCACTACCCTGTGCTGAAGCAGGGTCTGTGCTTGGTGCTGGCTGAGCTCCTGCCCTCTGTCACTCACAGGCAGCCCCCGCAGCCGCTGGAGCCCCCCAGAAGCCCCGGGTGTGATCCTGGGAAGCTGCGGATGTTAGAGGACGCTGAGGACTGGCAGCCCCGCACCGGGACCTCCCAGTCCCGCTCCTTCCGCAAACTGGCCCAGCTGACGGGCACAGATGGCAGTGAGTTCCTGCAGGGCCTGGTGCTGGCTGGGGGTGATGAACTGTGTTAGCCAGAATCTGACAGAGGCTGTGGGGTGATGTGTCACTAAAGGTTTGGTTTTGGCTCCCTTAAGGGCAGCTGAGCCAGCGGGAGCTGCCCGGGGCTGTGTGTGAGCTCGTGGTGGTGCCACTGGTCTGGGGCTGTGCTCTGTCCCATGGCTGGGCAGGGCTGTGCAATGGGGTAAGGG